CCAGAGTGCTAGGATTATAGGCGTGAGCCACCAAGCCCCGCCCATTATTAAAAATGGAATGAGATAAACTTACAATTCAATAACTATATAAATATTCAAAATAAATCACTTCTCAATTATTTTACTGTATTTTACTATGATTTATATTCTTAGGTCATTCATATGTATATGAATGTGTATGTGTATCTCATATGTATGGTAGAAGTACTATAATGGTGTTACTGCACATCTCCCAACCCTGCATTCACTTTGGTAGCTTTAAGTCAGTCATGGTGGAACTATTTACATCACGGAAATAGGCAAATGCTATAAATAAAGTCTCTCTCTCCTTCTCTCTCCCTCTGTCTTTCATAGGATGCTGTTTGTTAAATTTTACTAGCATACCATTGCATTTAGGCCTGTATGTGTGAGATTATTCTGCACTATAAATATGGATATTAGAAGACCTCATTGACCAAAATCTTTAGACTAATAAACCTAGATAATTAATTTCAGGGCACAGATATGTCAACGGAAAAAAGCCAAACTCTGTAAAATAACGTTAAAGACATTTATTCTGAGCCAAATTTGAGGACCATGACCCAGAGCCACTACCTAGAGGCCTTGGGCAAGTGGACTCACTGTGGCTGGGTTACAGTTTGGTTTGTATACATTTGGCCCAAAAAGGTGGAACATCTTGAACCGGGGGTTAGGGGGTTGGGGGCTGGGGGTTTGGGGGGATCGGTGGGGGGGTAGCGTACAGGTTATAGGTGGGTTTAAAGATTCTTTGGCTTGTAATTGGTTAAAGACTTGAAGCATTGTCTAAAGGCTTGGAATGTTTTAATATAAGGAGCTGTTATCAGAGACAAGCCAATGGACATAGATTTGTTGTGTAAATTAAAGACCTCCAGGATTGTCTTGCATACCCTTAGGCCTGTTAATGGGTTACAAAGGAAGTCTCCAAGAAGGGAGGGGGGCATCATAAGGCATGTCTGACCTCCCTCCTCCTGGCAGACCATTTAATTTTAGGACATTCCTTTGGTCACAGAGGGGGTCCATTCAGTCATCGGGTGGGGGTTGAGCCTACTTTAGTTCACAGATCTTTTACTCTTGATTGTTTGTGGAAAAAATTTAGAAAATTCCAGAGGATTTCAAGTCACACTCAACTGGTGTCCACATATATCGTTGCCTTTTATTATATATATTTTTGGATGATACAGCTGCATGACACAGTGAATAAGGGTGGAGACTTCAGAGCCAGGCTGCCTTGGTTCTAAATCCAACCTCTGTCACTTTGTAGTTACTTGACCTTGAGCGAATGTCTCATCTACCTGTAGGCTAGTTTAGTCATCTATAAAATAAGGGGAACAAGAATTACATTATAGGGTTTTTGAAAATTAATATTTGTGAGATACAATAAGGTGTGGCACAAAGTAAGCCCTATATAAATGCCATAAAAAGATAAATACATTTTAAGAGTAAATTGTCACACTACCTAATCATATGCCACAGTTCGTCTAGGAATTATTCACATTAAAGCTTTCACTGAAAACCCCAGCTACCTAAAATTGACTCTACTGTGGCGAGGTGTTTAAAAGAGTATAACGAATGCCCAATTAATTAGCAAAAACTCATAAAAATCAGTAGTTTTTTTCTATCTTTTCTTTTCACAAGAAATTACCAAGAACCCCGGGTTGATTTTGTGGAACCATTTCAAGAGAGTAGTCAGTTAACTATATAAAGTAGTCAGTTAACTATAAAACTATAAATGTCAGTTCAGAATGATGTGACATGCTTATAATTCTAGTTTAAATCTCTACTATGAAAATCTCCATGGCCGTGTGCTGAATTTATTGACATAGCTTCTTTTCTCTTGCTTTTGTTTTCATTGCTACTAAATGTGATAATCTATGTATCAACTCAGTAGGTGATTTTCATCACGTGCTCTGAGTAGTGACTCTCTTTCTTGTCACAGAGCAATACTCAGAAAACCAAGAAAGTCTTCCTGCCTCAGCAACAAAATTTCCTGGGAAGAATGAATCAGTTGTATTAGAAATATGAAATTAGAATTAAGAAATTAGAAATAATAAATGGAAATTAGAAATATGTGGGCACCTTTCTAATTTTCCAAATGCACAGATTTCCCACACGCTTGTGGAAAACAAGATGGCAGGAAGTAGCCACAGCAAATGGGGGCAGACTACATGAATTCTGCTTTCACTTAACAGCTGTGTGTTCATGGACAGGTTCCTTAACAACTCTGTGTCTCAGTTTCCACCTCTGAAAATGCAGATAAGAGCACCTACTCCATTGCCTTCTATTTGGTTGTTGCAAGGATTAAATAAGTTATGTTACAAAGCCATTAGAGCAGTACTTGTTGCACAGTGAACAATCAATAAATGAAAACTATAATAATAATTATTATTGCTATTGTTTAAAATGTTTCATTGTACCAGTCACTTATTGTTATTTTTGTCAAATACTCCTGATTTCCTAATTCAACCAAATGAGCAGATTCTGAAGTTTTATCAATTTTAAGTTCTTTGGTAGCCAGAAACTAGAAATGTTAATAGACATCTAACTTTATAATTTAAAAATACTTTTTTTCTATAATGGTGCCCTTTCTCAAAGTTTTCATGATGATTTTGTTTTGCTTTTCTAGATGTAGTTACTCCAAATGGCTTGAATGTTAAAAAATTTTCAGCTGTGCATGAGTTTCAAAATCTACATGCCATGTACAAAGCCAGGATCCAAGATTTTGTTCGAGGTCATTTCTATGGGTATGTTTTTCTATATCTTTTTTTTTTTAATTGGCATGTGATTTTAGGGATGTTTGGTAAAGAGAAAGCTGAATTGTTAAAGTAAATGTTTATCTTTTCCAGCAGCCTTCTTTACTTTACCAAAATTCATGTGTACATTTTATTGCTGTTGCTTTACTTCATTTGCAACTGTTTTGTTTTGTTTTAGTCATCTCGACTTTGATCTTGAAAAGACTTTGTTCCTTTTCATTGCTGGGAGGTATGAGTTCTCAAACAAAGGAGCTGACATCTTCCTAGAATCCTTATCCAGGCTAAATTTCCTGCTGAGGGTAAGAAAGTTCTAGGACATGACACAGTGCTCTTGTATGGAGGACTTTTTAGAATAGTTTTCAAGAGATTATATGATTTTGAAGACTTAAAATGATAACCTTATTCTAATAATGGCTTCAGCCTTTCAATTTACATGGTGGAGTTGTCATATTGTTTACTTGTGTATTTGTCTATGTTGTCAAAGGTATGTTAACTTTTAAGAGACCCTCAAGCTTACCCCATTATATGTGCTGTGTCATTATAATATCCATTTTCCCCCATGTGAGCCTGTGATATTGAAAAATAAATGAGGAGATAGGCAAATGGAGAGCTAAATATCACTTTTTAAAAAAAAAAAGCCAATGAAGATGTAGCTTGGGTATATGACAATAGGTGCCCTGATGCTGAAACCTGGTGTGACATTTAGCCCCCTAATCACAGGCAGCTCTGGCTATTGCCATCCTCCCCCAACTGAATCTGGCCTTCAGAGTAGCATGTGCCATGTGGCTGGCAGCCAAACACGACAGCTCTAACTCTATAGAACAGGGCAGACACATACAAACGTAGTTCCCCCCAATCACCCAGCCATTCACTCTCTGAAATTGAGAGTCTCAAACTGTTAAACTAGGAGATGTCCCACCAAATGAAAAGATGAAGGAGAGAAAAGAAGGCTCTCGCTTTTCCAATAATGTGGAATCATTTTTTTCTCAGGAAGGTGGGACTGAGAATAAGTTGCCAACTAATCCAGCAATAAAATGTGTGCCAATAGAAGCAATAATAGCAAATGGTACCATGTCATAGCTATTGATTGAAGTTATTGGTTTATAGTCTAATCTCATTGCATAAAAATGTGGAATTAATAAAATAGCAGGAAAATATTCATAGGAGACTCGTGTAGAATCTCAACCTAACTGAGATACTGAGACAATCTAAACTTTCCCGAACTCTGTACTACTCTCCAGCCAAATTTTTATCATGACCTTAGATTTTTCCTTACCTTAGAGCAGAGACTGTACCAAGTGTGCTAAAAGATTTACTAAAACCACATTAACAAGGAAGCAGTACATTAATAAAAACCCAAGCCTGCAAATTAGAAATGAAGGCCAAAAAGATTATTCTGGAATAATCTTATATCATATTTCAATGGATATATGTATCCATTCAACAAGCTTTATAAATGAATTCATGACTATATCAAACATATATCATGTTTAGGGACATTACTAATACTTTTATGCATACAATTATTAAATATGCACTTTATTTTTAGATATGAAGAAAAAACCTATTGCCATTATATTAGACATTAAAGATAACTATAATACTTGTAGACTTTAAAAGAAGACATTCTCTTTTCATATAGTACATTTATTTTATTTATTTATTTTTTCTTTTGAGACAAAGTCTCACTCTGTTGCCCTGGCTAGAGTGCTGTGGCATTAGCCTAGCTCACAGCAACCTCAAACTCCTGGGCTCAGGCAATCCTTCTGCCTCAGCCTCCCACCATGCCCGGCTAATTTTTTCTATATATTTTTTGTCCCGGCCCGCGGGACCTTCTGTTACTCGCGGGGGCGAGGGGGACCATGCCTGAAAGAGATGAGCGAGAGAAAGAAACGAGACCAAGCGAATGATTGTCAAGGTCTACTTTACTTGGTTTTTAGTAGGTTTTATATACAGAAAACAAGGAAGTAGAAACAGAAAAATAGAGTGGGGGGATGATGAGGCTTGGGTGTGGGCCAATCAGCCCCAATCAGCATCCCAATGGCACCGAAAGCTGTAATGCATTCTTCTCGGAACTATAGCTGGAGGGCTGGGTGCTATTTTCATCTTAGGCTATTTTTCATGCGTAGGACAAGTCAGGACTAGTCGTTGGAATGTGGAGGGTCTTAGTCTCCAACAATTTTTAGTTGGCCAATTAATTTCTTTCTATTTTTAGTAGAGACAGGGTCTTACTCTTGCTCAGGCTGGTTTTGAACTCCTGACCTTGAGCTATCCTCCTGCCTCAGCCCCCCACAGTGCTAGGAGTATAGGTGTGAGCCACACTGCCTGGCCTCATGTATTCTTTGATAGCACATTGGCTATTCCTGGGGTGAGTTTTTCATTCTATGACTTATATAGATTTCCTCAACAGTCTGTCAGGCCCTAGAGGGCAAAAGCCACATAACAGATGGTAAAGTGCCCCACACTTGGGAAATAGTCTTTCATTTACAGAATACATGAACATTCATATATTCATGGCTTTAAGTGAGTTTATGCTTTCATCTCCATAGATGATTAATATATCATTTCTTCCTGAGCAACGCTAGACTATTGGTATTTATGGGAAGAAGAAAAGAAAACAGATTTTAGAGTGAAAAACCAACAGTTTATATATCCCAGCTTTGCCACTAACTTGTTCTAGCTCAGACAAAATATTTATCCTCTCATGCTTCGCTTGACATTGATAAAATGAGAAGAGTGATACCTATCATACACAATTATTAGGAGGACTAGATTAAAGTATGTATTTAAAACACCCCAGCACAGAGCTTGCTACCCCAAAAGTGCTCAGCATATGTTTGTTCCTTTACTTTAGGGCTAAAACCCAAACTTGCAACATCATAAGAATCAAGACATTTAACAGGCCAGGCGCAGTGGCTCACGCCTGTAATCCTAGCACTCTGGGAGGCCGAGGTGGGTGGATTGCTC